GGGCCTTGATCCGTTCCCGGCCTCGCCTCGGCTCGCCGGAGCCCCGCTCCTCCGTCCCTGTCGCCAAGTCCGTCTTCGAGCCCAGCCGCTGCGCCCTTGTGCCTCTGCCGCGGCCCGCGCCATCCTCGGCTAGCAAGCGAGGACCTCGCTGGCTCGATCTCCTGCCTCCTTCACCCGCGCGTCGCCAAGGCCCAGTGCAGGCCGCATCCGCTCCTCCTCACTTTGTCCGTCCTCGCCGGAGTCGCGCCAAGGCCGGCGTCCTCCTCATCCTAGCGCCGTCTGCGACCAAGTCCGGCCGGATCCGGACGAAATCGATCTCCCCGCGCCCCGCCGTCTGCTGCCTCCTCTGCATCGAGCCGGTGCGCCATTCCCCTGCTTCTGCGTGCGAGCACGCGAGGACACGACCAGCGCCAAGTCCAGATCGGTCCCCTGCTTCCGTTGACCGCAGCCAGCGCCCTGGGCCACTTCTTGCGCCAAGCCCAGATCTGCCCGGCCTCCTCTCCACCGACCGGCCCAAGGCCCAGGGTGAGCAGCCCCCCAGGCCTTTCCTCTATTGGGCTAGCCAGATTCGGCCCAGTGTAGTTTTTATTCAGTTCTGCGAATTTGTCTTTTATCCAGTGCATGCATAATTACAGGAGGTTGCCATTATTTTAAATTGCTCACAAGTAAATAACCGTGCATCGGATTTAAATGATTTAAACTTGTAAAATGCTTAGAATTTCATCTAGTTTCATTTTTGGCCACTTTCATCCATGTTTAAAATGTTTAAAATGTTGTTTGTTTAAATTTGCTTAAATGCCATGTGATAATGATTTATTTCGTAACTAAATAACTGTAGCTCGGTTTTAAATAAACTTTATATGTAAATGGGGTGGAAAATGCCTAGTTTAACATGGTGGACTTCATTTTCCTGTTTAACAACAATAAAATATGTTTTAGGGCAGAACAGTATCAAATCTAAAATATGCATATGGGGATTTTCCGGATCGGTTGTTTGTTATATCCGGCCCCATTTAAATTGTTTAGATGGTATAGTTTTGTTATGCTTCACCCCTTGCCATGTTTAACAACATTTAATATTGTTTGGTAGCTGAAACGAGATTAACCTAAATATGTCAATATGGTGTTTTGTCAATATGCAACTCGTTGCATAATGATCTCCACTTAACTTGTAGTATTGTTTGTTGCACTTTGCCATGCTTTTAAACCGGACATGCATCATACTTGTTTGTGCATCATGCCATGTTTATGCTTGTGCATTTACCATATTGTTTGTTTATTTCCGGTGTTGCTTCTTAGTTCCGGTAATGTTGCGATTGTGAGGATTCGTTCGACTACTCCCGTTCGTCTTCTTCATGGACTCGTTCTTCTTCTTGCGGGATTTCAGGCAAGATGACCATTTCCCTGGATCTCACTACTATCATTGCTATGCTAGTTGCTTCATTCTATCGCTATGTTGCGTTACCTATCATTTGATCTTCAAGCCTCCCAAATTGCCATGTCAGCCTCTAACCTTTTCACCCTTCCTAGCAAACCATTGCTTGGCTATGTTACCGCTCTGCTCAGCCCCTCTTATAGCGTTGTTAGTTGCAGGTGAAGTTGAAGATTGCTCCATGGTGGACAGGATTATGTTGGGATATCACAATATTCTCTTATATTATTAATGCATCTATATACTTGGTAAAGGGTGGAAGACTCGGCCTTATGCCTGGTGTTTTATTCCACTCTTGCCGCCCTAGTTTCCGTCATACCGGTGTTATGTTCCCGGATTTTGCGTTCCTTACGCGGTTGGGTGATTTATGGGACCCCCTTGACAGTTCGCTTTGAATAAAACTCCTCCAGCAAGGCCCAACATTGGTTTTACCATTTGCCTCACCTAGCCCTTTTTCCCTTGGGTTTCCGGAGCCCGAGGGTCATCTTTATTTACCCCCCCCCCCTGGGGGGCCAGTTCTCCTCCGAGTGCTGGTCCAAACAGAGCGATGTCCGGCGCCCCCCGGGCAACCAGGGTCTATGCCAACCCGTCGTCTTGCTCATCCGGTGTGCCCTGAGAACGAGATATGTGCAGCTCCTATCGGGATTTGTCGGCACAGCGGGAGGTCTTGCTGGTCTTGTTTTACCATTGTCGAAATGTCTTGTAAACCGGGATTCCGAGTCTGATCGGGTCTTCCTGGGAGAAGGTATATCCTTCGTTGATCGCGAGAGCTTATCATGGGCTAAGTTGGGACACCCCTGCAGGGTATAATCTTTCGAAAGCCGTGCCTACGGTTATAGGCAGGTGGGAATTTGTTAATGTCTGGTTGTAGATAACTTGACACCAGATACAAATTAAAATGCATCAACCGCGTGTGTAGCCGTGATGGTCTCATTTCGGTGGAGTCCGGGAAGTGAACACGGTTTTTGGGTTATGTCTGACGTAAGTAGGAGTTCAGGATCACTTCTTGATCATTGCTAGCTTCACGACCGTTCCATTTGCTCTCTTCTCGCTCTTATTTTGCGTATGTTAGCCACCATATATGCTTAGTCGCTGCTGCAACCTCACCACCTTACCCCTTCCTTTCCCTTTAAGCTTTGCTAGTCTTGATACCCATGGTAATGGGATTGCTGAGTCCTCGTGGCTCACAGATTACTACAACAACAATTGCAGGTACATGTTTATGCGATGATCATGACGCGAGAGCGATGTTGCTTGTTTTGGAGTTCTTCTTCTTCGGCTTCTTCTTTGATCAGGGGATAGGTTCCAGGTCGGCAGCCTGGGCTAGCAGGGTGGATGTCGTTTGAGTTTCTATTTGTGTTCATCCGTAGTCAGATGTTGCTCTTATGTATTGTAATGTTGTACTCGTGTGGCATTGTATGCCTCTTGTATGTATCCCCATCTATTATGTAATGTTGATGTAATGATATCCACCTTGCAAAAGCGTTTCAATATGCGGGTCTATCCTTGGTGGGACCTTCGAGTTCCTTTTGGATAGGGTCGCATATTGGGCGTGACACCTTTATACCACCAACATCTCTCACCATCTCACATAATACATGAAATGTTCTCCTATCCATACGAAGTTGACTTATACACATAGCGCCGCTCTCACCAATTAGTCGATACAAGTTATCTCCCCTTAACTCTCTAATTTTAATTCTCCTTTCTATTTGCCAACATTTTCTCCTATAAGCTAATGCAAATATGAACCACACATAATAGTATACAAGCATAATGGAAGTGGTCAGATTCAAAAATATTGCATTTCTCCTTCCACGCCTCACACTTAAGGGAAGACGAGCCATAACTGCATAAGGAAAATATACCTATTTAAGGTCGGTACGACTTTCTTTCCTAATAATTGATAGTAGTACAAAACAAGAAACTGGATAGATTTCATGATGACAAAACAAACATCCGATGTTTAGATGAAAGATAATAAACGATGATTATATTAACATGCAATTGATCATGCAAAGGTACAATGGATCCAAAAAAACCTGTACATCAGAAGCCTAATTAAGTCATATACAAATACATCTGCTGCATATGGATAGGAAAATTGCATATCAGAAAACTACAGGAACAATCAGCCCGTATCTAGTTGATATGCATGGGGATATCACCGTCGATCTACTGTCATGCAAAGTTCGAAGTATCAGGATATGATTTCACATCAGAAAGCTAAAGAAGATGGCCCAATTGACAGCAGGAACATGCATCGGACAAGACACCTTCCTTCCTTTTTGTGACCAGACAACCTAATTCATCTATTTGCCTAGTTACCTAACTAGACAGGTCAAGAACACATCAGAAAAATACAAAGGACATACCACCAATTATACTCCACTAGTCATTCACTAATAAAAGAACAGATCAAGAACACATATATTCTTTTTACTTCAAGATCAAGAATAGATCATTAATAGACATCAACCTATAACAGATCATTAATAGATCAAGAATAGATCAAGAACACATATTTTTTTTACTTCAAGATGAAGAACAGATGGAAATATATGCTATACATCAACCTATAACAGATTATTAGTAGATCAAGAACAGATCAAGGACACATATTTTTTTTACTTCAATATCAAGAACAGATGGAAATATATGCTATACATCAACCTATAACAGATCATTAGTAGATCAAGAACAGATCAAGGACACATATTTTTTTACTTCAATGTCAAGAACAGATGTATTAGTAACCCTAACCTTGAGATCTGCAGTAGGAGAGTGGCGAAGGAGGAAGAGATCGATCTGGAGATGGGCGGATGGGCCTTGCTGCTCCTCGTACGCGGCTTCAGTGGTCCACCCTCATCGGCATCGGAAGCGGCTGGCGTGGTCGTTCCCGGCGACTGGTGTGGCGAGGTCAACCCGGCGGCTGGACCAGGAGGGGAGGACCGAAGGGGGTCGAGAGGAGGTGGTGGCGCGACGGCGCTGGACTGGAAGGGAGGCGGCGGGCGGCGGCGCAGCGGCGCGAGACTTGAAGGGAGGCGGCGGCGCAGACGGATCGAGGGGAGCAGCAAGTCGCGGGGGAGGAGTGGAGTCGGGAGCGGTAAGGAAGCCTTTACCGGTGGGGGTGGGGGGTATCGTTCGATAACTGGCCTGGAACTGATTACAGAGGAACATGATTACGGAGGTGTTTCACCAAACACACGTAGGGGTATCCATTTACACTGTAAACAGGTGACGGGCAGAATTTGACGAAACAAACACCTCCTTTGTGATATTCGTATGAAAGACAATGATGTTGGGCTGTTGGCATCAATTTTGATGTTCATATATATATGTGATAAAACACTGTAAAATAACTCTATATCATTTATTAATCCTAACGGAATTAGTCCAAGGATACAAACTATTCATCAGACATATGGGAAAATAAACTAAAGTGACAGAAACCAAAAAGGACTTAATGGCTTATTTTCATGAGCTTATTTGCATCGTAGCTTCTCGAAGGCTTATTTTCGCCGCAGCTTATGCACAACCACGGCTCAATAGAACGGGGTTTTAACAATCACTTGTCAGTTAGTGCATCGTTGCCGTGGCCGTGTAACGCCTTGAGCTCATCTACAAGCCGTGCCCAGTCACTGCACGATGACCCTCCTTCCGCCACCGCAGCGCGACCCGCGACGCCGAGCTCCCTCACCCTCACCCTCCTAGCCGCGGCTTCATCCGCACCGCCGTCCATCAGCTTCCCCACCGCGCTGGCCACCTTGTCGGCCGGCACCACCGCCTCCACGTCCGCCTTGCTGCCCACCTCCCGCACCCGCACGCCCACGCGGAGCACGTCCACCAGGAGCGCCTCGTTCAGGAACTGCTCGGCGCGGAGCGGCCACGTCGCGAGGGGCACGCCGGCGCACACGGCGTCCAGCACCGAGTTCCAGCCGCAGTGGCTCACGAAGCCGCCTACCGCTCGGTGCGCCAGGATCTCCGCCTGCGGCGCCCATCGCCCGGCCACCACCATGCCGTGGCCGGACGCGCGCTCGTCGTGCTGCTTCGTGCCCTCCGTCGCCGCCGGGATCACCCAGAGGAACGGCTTGCCGGATGCGCGCAGCCCGGCGCCCAGCTCCTTGAGCTGGTCCGCGCTCAGACCGCACGTGCTGCCGAAGCAGGCGTACACCACCGACCCGGCTGCCTGGCCGTCGAGCCACTGCAGGATGGAGTCGCGCTCTGCGGCGCCGGTGACGGTGACGTCACTGCGGGCGGCGCGCCTGGGGCCGACGAGGAACACCTTCTTGGGAGAGCCATCCGCGCTCCGGTAGTATTCAGCAAAATCAGCCTCCAGCGCTGAGAAGCTGTTGAAGGCGACGGCGTTGCTCCCAGCCTCGGCCGCGCGGAAGATGGGGAGGTGCGCCAGAGCCTCCTCGTTGACATGGGCCCTGCGGAGCTTCACGGGGACCGGGAAGCCGCCAGGGAGAGCGACGGGGTCCTCTATGACGTCGGGGCGGTGGAGATGGACGGCGACCATGGAGGCCGCCGCGAAGGCGCCGATGGTGTGGAACGTGACGTGCGGGACGCCGCACTCGCGGGCGACGCGGGGCGCCCAGTGGAGCACGGCGTCCGACACGACGGCCACGGCGCCTGCGTGGGCGCGTACGGCCTCCGCGAGCGCTGGCGCCAGGGTGGCCTCCGCGGCGAAGAAGAACGCCGGCGCGGAGGCTTCGTCCGGGAGCAGGGAGAAGTCCTCGTGCCCTCCGGGGAAGCTGAACGGCGCGGCGCGGACCGGCACGGAGGGAGGCGCGAGGGCCGCGAAGTGCGGCGTGGTGAGGATGGTGGCGCCGGTGGCGCCATCGCCGCAAGCGGCCGCCGCGGCGGCCGCCAGCGGAGCGAAGTGACTGCGCGCGAGGAAGGGCACGAAAACGAGGTGCAGGGGCGCCGGCATCGTCGATCGCCTTCGGCTGTGAGATAGAATGTAATGAACAAGATCCTTAAAACTGTGTGCACTGATGCTCTTCGTCTTGGGGTAATTTATACTAGTAGATTACATCAGAGATGGAGGAAGAAGAAGACGTAGGATTATTCCACAAGTAAGCAACAACCTGATCCTAATGGCGGAGGAGCCATGCATGGGGGAGAGCCATGACGTGCTCCGGAAGAAGAGAAGTGGGCGGCGGCAGCATGCAGTCTAACAGCCTCGCTGGTTTTGGGAGCTGCGTGTAAAACTCGTGCTCACGACGTACGCGTGCATGGTTTGTTTCACGAATTTGCGTTCACAGGTGCGTCTGAAGTGAACTCTCGATCTCTGAAATCGCCAGCCAGTTTCCTTTTTCTTTTTCTGTTTTCTTATTTCATTTTTATTTTTCAAAAAATGCTCAGAAATTTCCAAAATGTCCGCATCTTTCAACATTTTAAGAATGTTTCTGTTTTCAAATTTGGTTCAGAAATTTGAAAAAATGTTCAGAAATTCAAGAATTGTTCGTTTCTTTTCAGAAAATATTCTGGTACTAAAAGAAAGTTTAGAATTTCAAAATAAATTCAAAAAATGTATTTTACAAAATTTTCGGTAATTTCAAAAAATGTTCTCATTTCCAAAATTTATTCACAAATTTAAAAAATGATCATGTTTCAAATTTTGGTTTGCAAATTTTAAAAATGTTCACATTTTTGAAAAAATGTTTGTGCTTTTAAAAAAGTTTTAAATTAGAAAAATTGTTTGCGTTGTTAAAATGTTCAAAGTTTCAAACATTATTTGTTCTGAAAATTCACAAATTCTGAGAAATGTTTGAATTTTTTCAAAAAGTGTTCAAATCTGCTACATCGGTTAGTTCTTAATACTTTTCGCTGCTCAATGGTTACCTGCACTTGTTAGCTCTAGTCTCTTGTAGCAGTTGTTCACCCGTTGGAGATCTAGAGTTCGAATCCCTTGGTAAGCACAACCTTCTTTTTGTTAACTTATCCATCGGTGCGCTATAGTATTCAACTTGCGCACTGATGGAGCTCCATTCGCGCGTCGCGGGCATATTTGGCGCTCCCGCTTGACGAAACCGGAACCTTATCTCCTTTTAGACATGGGAGATTTCAATACCGACTACATATAAACTAAAATGAGTGAAGAAACACGCTAAAATGTGTCTACATACATCTGAATTAAAAAAAGTTAAAATAATCTATAATAGTGAATGGAGGAATGTTGTTGATCTAGAAACTCCCCCAGCATGCACGTGGGCTACAAACCATCGATTCCATGCATGTCCGCATGCTACAACTTCCCCTCATCTACATGCATCGAGGCGTCTTGTTCACATAATAGAGTTGCGCTAATTCCTCAGTCAGCCGTGTTGCTCCTCCTCTGCCACTGGAACCGGATCCTCTAACATCCTTAAAGAATGTCACGTAAGCTATAATAACCGTAACATCCCTCATTCACATTCATATGGTTAAGCCTAAAATAATTATAATTAATTTACAAATTACAAATCTAATGTATACTTTTACAAAAATTACATACAAACAAAATTATGGTGTAATAAAATTATTTTTTGATTTATTTTTGTACATGCTACAGTAAATCCGTACAGTGGTTGCTACAGTACCCTGACATCCCTTCTTCGCTTTACACGCGCATTTCACTGTAGCTTCGTGACATCCCTTGAGGATGTTAGAGGATCCACTTCCCTGCCCCTGCTATGAAGACTCGCCGGCTACGCTAACAGAGTCTTGGACTAAGGGGTGCTAGCCACGTCGGTTACCAGCCATATGGGCTAGGCCGAGGACCTCCATGAAAAAAAAAATCGGTGGGCATCGTTTGTTGGGCCCATAAGAGACAAGAAGGAAGATTTCACAAGACTTGACATACAAGACGAGGACTTCTCTCCACCGAAGTAGCCGATAAGGACTCCTATTATCCTAGGCCTTTGGTGCTCTTATATAGATCGGGACCAGGCTAGTCAATAAAGGATCTCATATTAGAACTCATTCACATACGATCTTGAGGTAAATCAACTTTTACTTGGTACCCTATTCATCAATACAATCAAAGCAGTATGTAGGGTTTTACCTATTCGAGAGGACCTAAACCTGGGTAAACATCGGTGTCCCCTTGTGTCTTGTTACCATCGTGCCAAGGCTACCAGTAAGGGATCCCCTACCCGAGATCCGTCGGATTCGACTCTGTCACACGCCAAAATAGGCAATTGGACATCACCCCCAGACGGAGTGTGTGGCTAGCCAAGGGAACCAGACATGGATCTTCGGCATCAAAACAACAATGGGTTCTCATCAGGAAGTTGTGCCTGGCAAATGAAGGAGAGATCATCGACGATGATACGTTGCAAACCGATGTGGACCACTTCTCTCTCCCGTCTACACACAAACGTGCACATTGCAACAATCTTAGCTTTGTTTGGTGGGAACCATCGATGCTACCATTACATGAGCTCCGATGAGGGCGGAGGTGAAGAAAATATGCCCTAGAGGCAATAATAAAGTTATTATTTATTTCCTTATATCATGATAAATGTTTATTATTTATGCTAGAATTGTATTAATCGGAAACTTAGTACATGTTGAATACATAGACAAAACCTATAGTCCCTAGTATGCCTCTACTTGACTAGCTCGTTAATCAAAGATGGTTATGTTTCCTAACCATAGACATGTGTTGTCATTTGATGAACGGGATCACATCATTAGGAGAATGATGTGATGGACATGACCCATCCGTTAACTTAGCATTATGATCGTGTTAGTTTCATTGCTACTGCTTTCTTCATGACTTATACAAGTTCCTCGGACTATGAGATTATGCAACTCCCGAATACCGGAGGAACACTTTGTGTGCTACCAAATGTCACAACATAACTGGGTGATTATAAAGGTGCTCTACAGGTGCCTCCAATGGTGTTTGTTGAGTTGGCATAGATCGAGATTAGGATTTGTCACTCCGATTGTCGGAGAGGTACCTCTGGGCCCTCTCGGTACTGCACATCAATATAAGCCTTGCAAGCAATGTGACTAATGAGTTAGTTGCGGGATGATGCATTACGGAACGAGTAAAGAGACTTGCCGGTAACGAGATTGAACTAGGTATTGAGATACCGACGATCGAATCTCGAGCGAGTAACATACCGATGACAAAGGGAACAACGTATGTTGTTATGCGGTTTGACCGATAAAGATCTTCGTAGAATATGTAGGAGCCAATATGAGCATCCAGGTTCTGTTGCTGGTTATTGACCGGAAACGTGACTCGATCATGTCTACATAGTTCTCGAACCCGTAGGGTCTGCACACTTAACGTTCGGTGATGATCGGTATTATGAGTTTATGTGTTTTGATGTACCGAAGGTAGTTTGGAGTCCCGGATATGATCATGGACATCACGAGGAGTCTCGAAATGGTTGAGACATAAAGATCGATATTATTGATGACTATGTTCGGACTTTGGAAGGGTTCCGGGCAAGTTCGGACATATACCAGAGTACTGGGGGGTTACCGGAACCCCCCGGGGAGTGTAATGGGCCTGTTGGGCCTTAGTGGAGAAGAATAGGGGCGGCCAAGGCAGGGCCGCGGCCCCCCTTGCCCTCTAGTCCGAATTGGACAAGGAGGGGGTGCGGCGCCCCCCCTTTCCTTTCCCCCTCTCTCCTTCTTCCCCCTTCTTCTACTCCTACTAGGAAAGGAGGAGTTCTACTCCCGGTGGGAGTAGGACTCCCCCCTTGGCGTGCCCTCCTCCTTGGCCGGCCGCCTCTCCCCTAGCTCCTTTATATACGGGGGCAAGGGGGCACCCAAGACACACAATTTGATCATTGATCTTTAGCCGTGTGCGGTGCCCCCCTCCACCATAATCCACCTCGGTCATATCGTAGCGGTGCTTAGGCAAAGTCCTGCGTCGGTAGCTTCATCAACACCATCATCACGCTGTGGTGCTGATGGAACTCTCACTCGAAGCTCTACTGGATGACGTCATCGAGCTGAATGTGTACAGATCGCGGAGGTGCCATACGTTCGGTACTTGGATCAGTCGATCGTGAAGACATACGACTACATCAACCATGTTGTCATAACGCTTCTGCTTATGGTCTACGGGGGTACGTGGACGACACTCTCCCCTCTCGTTGCTATGCATCACCATGATCTTGCGTGTGCGTAGGATTTTTTTTTGAAATTCTACGTTCCCAATCAGTGGCATCCAAGCCAGGTTTATGCGTAGATGTTATACGCACGAGTAGAACACAAGTGAGTTGTGGGCGATACAAGTCATACTGCTTACCAGCATGTCATACTTTTATTTGGCGGTATTGTTGGATGAAGCGGCCCGGACCGGCATTACGCGTACGCTTACGCGAGATTGGTTCTACCGACGTGCTTCGCACATAGGTGGCTGGCGGGTGTTAGTTTCTTCAACTTTAGTTGGATCGAGTGTGGCTACGCCTGGTCCTTGTTGAAGGTTAAAACAGCACTAACTTGACAAAATATGTTTGTGGTTTTGATGCGTAGGTAAGAATGGTTCTTGCTCAACCCGTAGCAGCCACGTAAAACTTGCAACAACAAAGTAGAGTACGTCTAACTTGTTTTTGCGGGGCATGTTATGATGTGATATGGTCAAGACATGATGCTAAATTTTATTGTATGAGATGATCATGTTTTGTAACAAAGTTATCGGCAACTGGCAGGAGCCATATGGTTGTCGCTTTATTATATGAAATGCAATCGCCATGTAATTGTTTTACTTTATCACTAAGCGGTAGCGATAGTCGTAGAAGCAATAGTTGGCGAGACGACAACGATGCTACAATGGAGATCAAGGTGTCGCGCCGGTGATGATGGTGATCATGATGGTGCTTTGGAGATGGAGATCAAAGGCACAAGATGATGATGGCCATATCATATCACTTATATTGATTGCATGTGATGTTTATCTTTTATGCATCTTATTTTGCTTAGATCAACAATAGCATTATAAGATGATCTCTCACTAAATTTCAAGGTATAAGTGTTCTCCCTGAATATGCACCGTTGCTACAGTTCTTTGTGCTGAGACACCACGTGATGATCAGGTGTGATAGGCTCTATGTTCACATACAACGGGTGCAAGCCAGTTTTGCACATGTAGAATACTCAGGTTAAACTTGACGAGCCTAGCATATGCAGATATGGCCTCGGAACACTGAGACCGAAAGGT